AGTTGCTCCAAGGGGTCCTGGAGGATCCCAATTCTTCTCTAAGGGGTCCTGGATGATCCCAAAGATGACCCAAAGGTGGTGGGACAAGTCCAGAGCTGCTCCAGAGGTCCTGGATGATGCCAGAGGTGCTCCAAGGGCTTCCAGGATGGTCCCAAAGCTGCTCCAGAAGCCTCCAAGAAGTTCCCTGAGCAAACCCTGCCCTGCTCAGCCCCCAGCTCGGGGCTTCCCCGGGACACAGAGCCCGGCCCTGCACATCTGGATCCACCTGGAGCCCAGCCCTGCACATCTGGATCTACCTGGACCCCACCCTGCACACCTGGATCCACCTGGAGCCCAGCCCTGCACATCTGGATCCACCTGGACCCCACCCTGCACACCTGGATCCACCTGGATCCACCTGGAGCCCACCCTGCACATCTGGATCCACCTGGACCCCGCCCTGCACATCTGGATCCACCTGGACCCCACCCTGCACACCTGGATCCACCTGGATCCCCTAGAGCCCATCCCTGCACACCTGGATCCACCTGGACCCCACCCTGCACACCTGGATCCACCTGGACCCCGCCCTGCACACCTGGATCCACCTGGACCCCCGCCCTGCACATCTGGATCCACCTGGACCCTGCCCTGCACACCTGGATCCACCTGGATCCCCTAGAGCCCATCCCTGCACACCTGGATCCACCTGGACCCCACCCTGCACACCTGGATCCACCTGGACCCCGCCCTGCACACCTGGATCCACCTGGATCCCCCTGGAGCCCAGCCCTGCACACCTGGATCCACCTGGACCCCACCCTGCACACCTGGATCCACCTGGAGCCCAGCCCTGCACACCTGGATCCACCTGGACCCCACCCTGCACATCTGGATCCACCTGGAGCCCAGCCCTGCACACCTGGATCCACCTGGACCTCCCTAAACCCCAACCCTGCACACCTGGATCCACCTGGATCCCCCTAGAGCCCCACCCTGCACACCTGGACACTGTGACAGCCCCACCCTGCACACCTGGATCCACCTGGACCCCACCCTGCACACCTGGATCCACCTGGACCCCACCCTGCACACCTGGATGCTGCCACAGCCCCATCCTGCACACCTGGATCCACCTGAATCCACCTGGACCCCACCCTGCACACCTGGATCCACCTGGATCCCCCTAGAGCCCATCCCTGCACATCTGGATCCACCTGGACCTCCCTAGAGCCCATCCCTACACATCTGGATCCACCTGGACCTCCCTACACCCCCACCCTGCACACCTGGATCCACCTGGATCTCCCTAGAGCCCCACCCTGCACACCTGGATCCACCTGGACCTCCCTACACCCCCACCCTGCACACCTGGACACTGTCACAGCCCCTCCCTGCACACCTGGGCACTGTCACAGATCCCCCCCCATACACCTGGACACTGTCACACCCCCCCCCAGACACTGTCACAGATCACCCCCCCCCATACACCTGGACACTGTCACAGCCCCACCCTGCACACCTGGACACTGTCACACCCCCCCCATACACCTGGACACTGTCACCCCCCCGCCAGACACTGTCACAGATCACCCCCCCCCATACACCTGGACACTGTCACAGCCCCACCCTGCACACCTGGACACTGTCACACCCCCCCCCATACACCTGGACACTGTCACAGACCCCCCCCCATACACCTGGACACTGTCACCCCCCCCCAGACACTGTCACAGATCCCCCCCCCCCCATACACCTGGACACTGTCACAGACGCTTCCTGCACACCTGGAACCCAGGCCAGACCCCCCCCCCCTTACCTGTCCTGGATCTCCAGGACCCCTCCTGGACACCACAACCTTCCCTCAACTCACACACCCTCACCTGGATCCCCTCACGTTCCCCTCACAATTTCCCCCTCACTGTCCCCTCACAATCCCTTCATGATCCCCTCATGATCCCCTCAGGATCCCCTTGTGATCCCCTCACTGTCCCCTCATGATCCCCTCAGGATCCCCTCATGATCCCTTCATGATCCCCTCATTATCTCCTCAGGATCCCCTCCTCATGACCCCCTTGTGATCCTCTTACTTTCCCCTCATGGTTCCCTCATGATCCCCTCACAGTTCCCCCTTCACTGTCCCCTCACTGTCCCCCCCTCATGATCCCCTCATGGTTCCCCCTTCCTGGTCCCCTCACTGTCCCCTCACGTTCCCTTCATGATCCCCTCAGGATCCCCTCCTCATGACCCCCTTGTGATCCCCTTACTGTCCCCTCATGGTTCCCTCACAATCCCCTCACAGTCCCCTCACGATTCCCCCCTCACGATCCCCTCATGGTTCCCCCTTCCCGGTCCCCCCACTGTCTCCTCACTGTCCCCTCATGGCTCCCTCGCTGTCCCCTCATTTTCCCCTCACAGTCCCCTCACTGTCCCCTTGCTGTCCCCTCACGATCCCCTCTCTGTCACCTCACTGTCCCCTCATGATTCCCCCCTCATGATCCCCTCACTGTCCCCTGATTGTCACCTCACTGTGCACTCACGGTTCCCTGTTCCCTGTCCCCTCATTTTCCCCTCACTGTCCCCTCACGATTCCCCCACCGTCCCCTCACGATCCCCTCCAGGTTCCCCCCTCACGATCCCCTCACTGTCCCCTCATGCTCCCCTCACGATCCACTCACGTTCCCCTCATGGTTCCTCCCTCATTTTCCCCTCACAATCCCCTCACGATCCCCTCACGGTTCCCCTCTCACGATCCCCTCACGGTCCCCTCACGGTTCCCCTCTCACAATCCCCTCACGATCCCCTCACTGTCCCCTCACTGTCCCCTGACATTCCTCACTGTCCCCTCCTCACGTTCCCCTCACGGTTCCTCCCTCATTTTCCCCTCACATTTCCCTCACGATCCCTTCGCTGTCCCCCTCTCACAATCCCCTCACGATCCCCTCATGGTTCCCCTCTCACGATCCCCTCACGGTTCCCCTCTCACAATCCCCTCACTGTCCCCTCACTGTCCCCTGACATTCCTCACTGTCCCCTCCTCACGTTCCCCTCATGGTTCCTCCCTCATTTTCCCCTCACATTTCCCTCACGATCCCTTCGCTGTCCCCCTCTCACGATCCTCTCACGATCCCCTCACGATCCCCTCACGATACCCTCACTGTCCCCTGACATTCCCCACTGTCCCCTCCTCACGATCCCCTCACGGTTCCCTCCTCACTGTCCCCTCACGGTTCCCCCCTCAATATCCCCTCGCTGTCCCCTCACGATCCCGTCACGATTCCCCCTTCTCGGTCCCCTCACGGTTCCCCGTTCCCGGTCCCCTCATGTCCCCGTTCCCGGTCCCCTCCGCCGCCAGCACTCCCCGCACTCACCGGAGCGCCGCTGCCGCACCGTGTCCCCGCTCCCCGTCCCACCGGGAGCCGCGTGTCCCCGCTGCCCCCGTGTCCCGCTGTCCCCGTGTCCCCCTGTCCCCGTTCCGCCTTTCAGCACCCGGGACGGGGCCGGTACGAGGGGGTCTGGGGGGTGTCAGCGCCTCCTCCGCGCTCTCCGCGAACCCTCGCCCCGCTCCGGACCCGCCCGCCCCGCCGGGCCCCCCCCCGGCACTCACCGGACCGGGCCCCCGGGGCCGCGCCCGCGGGGCTGCTCCCGCTCAACGCCGCCGCCGCCCCGCGCCCGCCCCGGGCCCGCGCCGCCGCCGCCGCGCCGGGGCCATGGCGCCCTGAAGAGAGGTCCCGGAGCTCCGCCCGCTCCCGGTTCTGCTCCCGGTCCCGGTCCCGGTCCCGGTCCCGCCGCCTGCGCCGCTCCGGCCGCTCCCCCGCCCCCCTCCCGCCGGCGGGGCCTGACTACGTCACGCCGAGCGCGACCGGGCCGCCGTCGACATCTTGAGGGGGGGGGCGGCGGCGGCGAACGGGGCCCCGGCGGGGATGAGGGGCCCGGTGAGGAAGCGGGGCCCGGCGGGGAAGCGGGAGGAGCCGCCGCCGCCGCCGCCATGTTGGGGCCGCCCCCCGTCCCCGCGCCCGCCCCGCCGGAGCCGCCGCCGCCGCCCTCCGCCCCGCGCGCGGCGCGCCGCGATGACGTCATCGGGGAGCTCTGGCCGCCATCTTGAGAGTGGCGGGGGTTGTGTGGCCGGGACCTTCCGGGAGGGAGGGGGAGCGGCGCGGACATTACGTCATCAGAGCGCGACGGCAGCGGAGCGCCGCCATCTTGGGCGTGTGAGGGAAAGGTCGGGGATGGGGGAAGGAGGGGGGAGCGCTGTCCCCAAAGTGTCGCCAAAGTGTCCCTAAAGTGTCCCCAAGTGTCCCCTGAGGGACTGAGGGGAGCCCGGGCTCTGTCACTGTCCCCAATGTGTCCCTAAAGTATCCCCAAAGTGTCCCCAAAATGTCAGCAAAGTGTCCCTAAAGTGTCGCCTGAGGGACTGAGGGGAACCCGGGCTCTGTCAATGTCCCCAAAGTGTCCCCTGAGGGACTGAGGGGACCCCGGGCTCTGTCAGTGTCCCCAAAATGTTCCCAAAGTGTCCCCAAAGGGACCTCAGGCTTTGTCACTGTCCCCGAATTGTCCCCAAAGCGTCCCCTGAGGGAGTGAGGGGACCCCAGGCTCCGTCAGTGTCCCCAAAGTGTCCCCTGAGGGAGTGAGGGGGCTCTGGGCTCTGTCAGTGTCCCCAAAGGGTCCCTAAAAGGGTCCCCAGAGTGTCCCCAAAGGAGCCAAGGGGGACTGAGGGGACCCCCCACCAGCAAAGGGTGTTTGGGGACATTGGGGACACACTGGTGACATCAAGGGGACACTGGAGAGCAAATGGGGACACTGGGGGGGGACACTGGGGCCACCACAGGAGGAGCCAAGGCCACCGTGGGGCCACCAAGAGCCATGAGAGCCACCAAATGTCACCATGAGCCAACCAAGGGCCACCATGGGGCCACCAAATGGAGCCTGGGGCCACCAAATGCCACCATGAGGCCACCAAGGCCCCTGAGGAGTCACCAAGGCCACCCCAGGGGCCACCAAAAGCCACCAAGGGCCACCCCAGGGGTCACCAAAGGGTCCAGGGGCTCCCTGGCCACGCCCTCTCCCTGAAGCCACGCCCACAAAGCGGCCGTTCAAATGGCCACGCCCCAACCAGGCCACGCCCATCCAGACCACGCCCACCAGGCGCGATGGGATTCGCCGGGAACTTCGGTGAGAGCGGGACCCCCCAAAATCCCCTAAAACCTCCCCAAAACAGCCCCAAACCGCTCCTAAAAACCCCAAATTACCCCAAAAACCGCCCCGGGAACCCCCAAAATCCCTAAAATAGCCCAAAACTGCCCCGGGAAACCCCGAAATTCCCAAAATTCCCTAAAATAGCCCAAAACCCGCCCCGGGAAACCCCGAAATTCCTAAAAATTCCCTAAAATAAACCCAAAACCGCCCCGGGAACCCCAAAACCCCCAAAATTCCTAAAATAGCCCAAAACCGCCCCGGGAAACCCCGAAATTCCCAAAAATTCCCTAAAATAGCCCAAAACCGCCCCGGGAAACCCCGAAATTCCCAAAAATTCCCTAAAATACCCCAAAAACAGCCCCGGGAAACCCCGTAAACGCCAAAATCCACCCAAAAACGGCCCCGGGAACCCCAAAATCCCCAAAATTCTCTAAAATACCCCAAAACACCGCCCCGGGAAACCCCGAAATTCCCTAAAACACCCAAAAACGGCCCCGGGAAACCCCGAAAACGCCAAAATCCCCGCCCAAAAACCCTAAAATCTCCCCCAGGTCCCCCTCAAAACCCCAAAATCCTCCCCCAAAACCGCCCCGGGAGCCCCGGAAAAACCCCAAAACCCCCCCCCAAAAAAAAACCAAAATCGCCCCAAATCCCCCCAAAACAGCCCCGGCCAGCCCCAAACCCCCAGAAAACCCCCAAAATACCCCAAAATTTCCTACAAAAAACCACCCCAAAATACCACAAAAAACTCTTCCGGGACACCCCAAAACCCGCCGGAAAACCCCAAAAATGCCCAAAATCCTTTTCAAACAGCCCCAAAATCTCTTTAAGAAACCCTAAATACCCCCAAAACCGCCCCGGGACCCCCAGAATCCCAAAATCCCCCCCAAAACCTCCAAAAAGACCCCGAAAAATGCCACAGGACCCCCCAAAAAATCAAAAATGTACCCAAAATCTCCCCCAAAACTCCAAAAGTCCCATAAAAAACCCAAAAATCACTTAAAAAAACCCAAAAATCACCTGAAAAAAAACCCCCAAACACCCCAAAATCAACCCCGGGACCCTCACCCCAAAACCCATCCGGGACGAGACCACCCCAAAAAACCCCAAAATTCCCCGAAATAAAGTTTAAAAATAAAAAAAAAAATTAAAAATCTTCCCCAAAAAAAACCCAGAAATGTCCCAAAAAACCCCAATAACTTCCAAAAACCTCAAAAATCTCCTAAAATCCCTCAAAAACCGCCCCGGGACGACCCAAAAAAAACCCCAAAACTCTCCAAAAAAAAAACTTTAAAAAATAAAAAAAAATCAAAAATTTCCCCCTCAAAAAACCCCCCCAAAATCTCCCCCCCAAAAAAACTCAAAATCTCCCAAAAAAAACCCAAAAATCTCCTAAAATCCCCCCCCAAAAAACGCCCAAAATTCCCCCCAAAACAAGTTTAAAAAATAAAAAAAAATCAAAAATCTCCCCCCAAAAAAACCCAAAAATCTCCCAAAAAACCCCAAAAATCTCCCAGAAAAGCCCTAAAATCTCCCAAAATCCGCCCCGGGACCCCCCAAAAAAAACCCAAAATCCCCCCAAAAACCCCAAAAACCTCCCCGGGACCCCCCCAAAAAAAAAAACCCCCAAAATTCCCCCGAAAAAAACTTTAAAAAATCCAAAAAAAAATCAAAAATCTCCCCCCAAAAAAAAGCCCAAAACTTCCAAAAAACCTCAAAATCTCCCAAAAAAAACCCCAAAAAACGTCCCCGGGAAACCCCCCCCCCAAAAAAAAAAAATCCCCGAAAAAAAATTTAAAAAATCAAAACAAAATCAAAAATCTCCCCCCAAAAACCCCAAAAACTTCCAAAAAACCCCAAAATCTCCCAAAAAATCCCCAAAATCTCCCAAAAAACCCCCAAAATCTCCCAAAAAAAAAACCCCAAAAACGTCCCTGGGACCCCCCCAAAAAAAACCCCCAAAATTCCCCCGAAAAAAAAAAGTTTAAAAAATCCTAAAAAAAAATCAAAAATCTCCCCCCCAAAAAACCCCAAAATCTCCCCAAAAAACCCCAAAATCTCCCAAAAACCTCAAAAATCTCCTAAAATCCCCCAAAAAACCTCCCTGGGACCCCCCCCCCCAAAAAACTCCCAAAATTCCTCGAAAAAAAAACTTTAAAAAATCCCAAAAAATCAAAAATTTCCCCCCAAAAAAAACCCAAAATCTCCCAAAAAATCCCAAAAAAATCAAAAATTTCCCCCCAAAAAACCCCAAAAATCTCCCAAAAAACCCCAAAATCTCCCCCAAAATCTCCCGGGACCCCTCCCCCCCCCCCCCCTCGTGCCTCAGTTTCCCCAAATTTCGGGAGGGGTCCCCAAACTTCGCCCCCTCCCCCCCCCCCCCCTTTCCGTGCCTCAGTTTCCCCAAATTTTTTTTTTCTTTTTTGGGGGGGGGTCCCCCCAAATCCCCTCCCCCACCCCCCTCCTCGACCCCTCCCCCTCCCCCCCCCCCGCGTTTGTTTCCCACGGTCGGAAGGGGAAGTGGGGGAGGGGCGGCTCCCAGTTGGAGGAACTGGGAGGGACTGGGGGGAGGGGGGGGAGGGGATTTTAGAAAGGGGGGGGGGGAGGGGTCCCCAAAAATTTTGGGGGGGTGGGGGGGGGAGGGGGGGTCCTGACCCCCGCTGCCCCTCCCCCACCCAGTTTTGGGGGGATTTGGGGGGGAGGGGGGGGAGGGGGCGCCCCCAGCGCTCCCAGTTTGGAACTGGGAGGGACTGGGAGGGGATTGGGGGGGGGGGAGGGGGGGTTTGTGACGTCACCACCCCCCCCAAAATTTGGGGTTCTCAGAGCGGGAATGGAGGGGGAGGGGGCGGGGCCGTGACGTCACAACCCCCAAATTTTTTAATTTTTTGTTTTGGAGGGGGGGAGGGGCGCTCCCAGTTTGGCCCAGTTTGAACTGGGAAGGGCGGGGGGGGAGGGGGGGGGGGGGTCAGGGCTGCCCCTCCCCCACCCAAATTTCACCCTCCCCTCCCCCATTTCCGCCCCTCCCCCCCCTCCCCCCCCCCCCCAGGGTTTTTTTGGTTCGTCCTGGGCGCCCTCGGCCCCCTCCCCCCCCGCGGAAGGTGAGAATTGGGGGGGGGGGGGGGGAAATTGGGGAAAATTTGGGGAAATTTGGGGGGAAAATTGGGGAATTTTGGGGTTTTGGGGGGAAATTGGGGAAATTTGGGTTTTTTGGGGGGAAATTTGAGGGTTTTGGGGGGGAAATTTGGGTTTTTTGGGGGGAAATTTGGGGGGGAATTGGGGAAATTTGGGGGGAAATTGGGGAAATTTGGGGTTTTTTTGGGGGGGGAAATTGGGGAAATTTGGGGGGAAATTGGGGAAATTTGGGGTTTTGGGGGGAAATTGGGGAAATTTGGGGGGGAAATTGGGGAAATTTTGGGGTTTTGGGGGGGAAATTGGGGAAATTTGGTTTTTTTGGGGGGAAATTTTGAGGGTTTTGGGGGGGAAATTTGGGTTTTTTTTGGGGGAAATTTGGGGGGGGATTGGGGAAATTTGGGGGGATTTGGGGAAATTTGGGTTTTTTTGGGGGGGGAAATTGGGGAAAATTGGGGTTTTGGGGGGAGGTAGGGGCGGATTTGGGTGTTTTGGGGGGAAATTTGGGGGTTTCGGGGGGGGAAATTGGGGGAAATTTGGGGGGGAACTGGAGAAATTTGGGTTTTTTTGGGGGGGAATTTGGGGGTTTTGGGGGGAAATTGGGTAGAATTTGGGTTTTTTTGGGGGTTTTGGGGGGAAATTGGGGAAATTTGGGGTTATTTGGGGGGAGGTTGGGGCTGATTTGGGTTTTTTGGGGGTTTTGGGCAGATTTTGGGGTTTTTTGTGGGGGTTTTGGGGTGGATTTGGGTTTTTTGGCGGTTTTGGGTCGGATTTTGGGTTTTGGATGGTTTTGGGTCGGATTTTGGGTATTTTGGGGGTGGTTTTGGGTCGGATTTTGGGTTTTTTTGGCGGTTTTTGGGTCGGATTTTGGGGTTTTTTGGTGGGTTTGGGTCGGATTTTGGGTGGTTTTGGGTGGTTTTGGGTCGGATTTTGGGGTTTTTTGGGGGGTTTTGGGTGGGATTTTGGGGGTGGTTTTGGGTTTTTTGGGGTGGATTTTGGGTGTTTTGGGTGGTTTTGGGTCGGATTTTGGGTTTTTTGGGGTGGATTTTGGGTTTTTGGGGTGGTTTTGGGTCGGATTTTGGGGTGTTTTGGGGGGTTTTGGGTCGGATTTTGGGTGTTTTGGGGTGGATTTTGGGTTTTTGGGGGTGGTTTTGGGTCGGATTTTGGGTGTTTTGGGTGGGTTTTGGGTCGGATTTTGGGTGTTTTGGGTGGTTTTGGGTCGGATTTTGGGTTTTTTGGCGGTTTTGGGTCGGATTTTGGGGGTGGTTTTGGGTCGGATTTTGGGGGTGGTTTTGGGTCGGATTTTGGGGTTTTTTGGGGTGGATTTTGGGTGTTTTGGGTGGTTTTGGGTCGGATTTTGGGTATTTTTGGGGGTTTTGGGGCGGGTTTTGGGTATTTTTGGGGGTTTTGGGGTGGATTTTGGGTGTTTTGGGTGGGTTTTGGGGTGGATTTTCGGTGTTTTTGGGGGTTTTGGGACAGATTTTGGGTGTTTTGGGTGGGTTTTTGGGTCGGATTTTGGGGTTTTTGCGGTGGTTTTGGGGTGGATTTTGGGTGTTTTAGGGTGGTTTTGGGTCGGATTTTGGGTATTTTGGGGTGGTTTTGGGTCGATTTTGGGTTTTTTTGGTGGTTTTGGGTCGGATTTTGGGGTTTTTGGTGGGTTTGGGTCGGATTTTGGGTGGTTTTGGGTGGTTTTGGGTCAGATTTTGGGGTTTTTTGGGGGGTTTTGGGTCGGATTTTGGGGGTGGTTTTGGTCGGATTTTGGGTTTTTTTGGGGTGGGTTTTGGGTGTTTTGAGTGGTTGTGGGTCGGGTTTTGGGTGGTTTTGGGTCGGATTTTGGGTTTTTTTGGGGTGGATTTTGGGTGTTTTGAGTGGTTGTGGGTCGGGTTTTGGGTGGTTTTGGGTCGGATTTTGGGTTTTTTTGGGGTGGATTTTGGGTTTTTGGGGTGGTTGTGGGTCGGATTTTGGGTGGTTTTGGGTCGGATTTTGGGTTGTTTTTTGGGGCAGATTTTGGGTTTTTGGGGTGAATTTTGGGGTGTTTTGGGGGTGGTTTTGGGTCGGATTTTGGGCAGTTTTGGGTCGGATTTTGGGGTGTTTTGGGGGGTTTTGGGTCGGATTTTGGGGGTGGGTTTTGGGTCGGATTTTGGGGGTGGTTTTGGGTTGGATTTTGGGTATTTTGGGTATTTCCTGAGCCCCGCACCCCCAGGGCAGGGCCTGTGCCAGCGCCCCCTGAACGGGACCCACTGCGGGTGCCCCAAGGGCTTCGAGGGAACCCCCTGGGAGAGCAGCCAGCCCTGGGAGCAGCGCTGTGAGGGTAACTGGGAATGAACTGGGAATGAACTGGGAATGGACTGGAAGCGCAGCCAGCCCTGGGAACAGCGCTGCGAGGGTAACTGGGAATGACTGGGAATGAACTGGGAATGGACTGGGAGCGCAGCCAGCCCTGGGAACAGCGCTGCGAGGGTAACTGGGAATGAACTGGGAATGAACTGGGAATGGACTGGGAGCGCAGCCAGCCCTGGGAGCAGCGCTGCGAGGGTAACTGGGAATGAACTGGATGGACTGGGAATGAACTGGGAACACTGGGAGGGACTGGGATGGACTGGGAACCCCCTGGGAGAGCAGCCAGCCCTGGGAACAGCGCTGTGAGGGTAACTGGAATGAACTGGGATGGACTGGGATGGACTGGGAGGACTGGGAATGAACTGGGAACCCCCTGGGAGAGCAGCCAGCCCTGGGAGCAGCGCTGCGAGGGTAACTGGGAATGAACTGGGAATGAACTGGGAACACTGGGAGGGACTGGGAGGGACTGGGAACCCCCTGGGAGCGCAGCCAGCCCTGGGAGCAGCGCTGCGAGGGTAACTGGGAACACTGGGAACACTGGGAATGAACTGGGAATGAACTGGGAGGGACTGGGAGGGACTGGGAATGAACTGGGAACACTGGGAGCGCAGCCAGCCCTGGGAAACAGCGCTGCGAGGGTATACTGGGAATGAACTGGGCAAACTGGGAACACTGGGAACCCCCTGGGAGCGCAGCCAGCCCTGGGAGCAGCGCTGCGAGGGTAACTGGGAACACTGGGAATGAACTGGGAGGGACTGGGATGGACTGGGAAACCCCTGGGAGGGTAACTGGGAACACTGGGAACCCCCTGGGAGCGCAGCCAGCCCTGGGAACGGCGGTGCGAGGGTAACTGGGAATGAACTGGGAGGGACTGGGATGGACTGGGAATGAACTGGGAATGGACTGGGAACACTGGGAGGGACTGGGAATGAACTGGGAATGAACTGGGAACACTGGGAACCCCTGGGAGCGCAGCCAGCCCTGGGAGCAGCGCTGCGAGGGTAACTGGGAATGAACTGGGAACACTGGGAATGAACTGGGAACACTGGGAACCCCCTGGGAGCGCAGCCAGCCCTGGGAACGGCGCTGCGAGGGTAACTGGGAATGAACTGGGAATGAACTGGGAATGAACTGGGAACACTGGGAGGGACTGGGAACCCCCTGGGAGCGCAGCCAGCCCTGGGAGCAGCACTGCGAGGGTAACTGGGAATGAACTGGGCAAACTGGGAACACTGGGAGGGACTGGGAACCCCCCTGGGAGCGCAGCCAGCCCTGGGAGCAGCGCTGCGAGGGTAACTGGGAATGGACTGGGCAAACTGGGATTGAACTGGGAGGGACTGGGAACACTGGGAGGGACTGGGAACACTGGGAATGAACTGGGAGGGACTGGGAGGGGACTGGGAATGAACTGGGAACACTGGGAACACTGGGAACCCCCTGGGAGCGCAGCCAGCCCTGGGAGCAGCGCTGCGAGGGTAACTGGGAACACTGGGAATGAACTGGGATGGACTGGGATGGACTGGGAGGGACTGAGAAGAACTGGGAATGAACTGGGAATGAACTGGGAACCCCCTGGGAGCGCAGCCAGCCCTGGGAGCAGCGCTGCGAGGGTAACTGGGAACACTGGGAACACTGGGAACACTGGGAATGAACTGGGAACACTGGGAGGGTAACTGGGAACACTGGGAATGGACTGGGAACCCCCTGGGAGCGCAGCCAGCCCTGGGAACGGCGCTGCGAGGGTAACTGGGAATGAACTGGGAATGAACTGGGATGGACTGGGAGGGACTGGGAATGAACTGGGAATGAACTGGGAACACTGGAACCCCCTGGGAGCGCAGCCAGCCCTGGGAACAGCGCTGCGAGGGTAACTGGGAATGAACTGGGAATGAACTGGGATGGACTGGGAATGAACTGGGAACACTGGGAATGGACTGGGAGGGACTGGGAATGAACTGGGAACCCCCTGGGAGCGCAGCCAGCCCTGGGAGCAGCGCTGCGAGGGTAACTGGGAATGAACTGGAATGGACTGGGAGGGACTGGGAGCACTGGGAGGGACTGGGAACACTGGGAATGAACTGGGCAAACTGGGAACACTGGGAACCCCCTGGGAGCGCAGCCAGCCCTGGGAACAGCGCTGCGAGGGTAACTGGGAATGAACTGGGAATGAACTGGGAGGGTAACTGGGAACAACTGGGAATGAACTGGGAACACTGGGAACACTGGGAGGGACTGGGAATGAACTGGAACACTGGGAACAGCGCTGCGAGGGTAACTGGGAATGGAGTGGGAACACTGGGAATGAACTGGGAACAACTGGGAATGGACTGGGAACACTGGGAGGGACTGGGAACACTGGGAATGGGCTGGGAACACTGGGAACACTGGGAGGGACTGGGAGGGACTGGGAATGGGCTGGGATGGACTGGGATGGACTGGGGGAGACTGGGAGCAGCGCTGCGAGGGTAACTGGGCAAACTGGGCAAACTGGGAGGGACTGGGAGCAGCGCTGCGAGGGTAACTGGGCAAACTGGGAAATGGGCTGGGAGGGGACTGGGACGTGAATTGGGAGCACTGGAAGGGAAACTGGGAGCACTGGGAGGGGACTGGGGACACTGGGGGGGTCAGGGCTGAATTCCAGGCTCCTCCCCCCTCCCCCCACAGATCAATTCTGGGAGGTCCCAAATTTTCACGGGGGGATCCCCAATTTTCAGGGGGGGGGATCCCCAATTTTCAGGGGTGGGATCCCCAATTTTCGGGGGGGGGGGATCCCCAATTTTCAGTGGAGATCCCAAATTTTCAGGGGGGGATCCCAAATTTTCACGGGGGGGGGATCCCAAATTTTCAGGGGGGGATCCCCAATTTTCGGGGTGGGATCCCAAATTTTCGGGGGGGGATCCCAAATTATTGGGGGGGGATCCCAATTATCGGGGGGGGATCCCAAATTTTCAGGGGGGGGAATCCCAAATTTTCAGGGGGGGGGATCCCAAATTTTCAGGGGGGGGATCCCCAAATTTTCAGGGGGGGAGATCCCCAATTTTCGGGGCGGATCCCAAATTTCAGGGGGGGAATCCCAAATTTTCAGGGGGGGATCCCAAATTTTCAGGGGGGGGATCCCAATTTTCAGCGGGGGGATCCCAAATTTTCAGGGGGGATCCCAAATTTTCAGGGGGGATCCCCAAATTTCGGGGGTGGGGGGGTCCCCAAGTGACCCCTCCCCTCCCCCCCCAGACATCAACGAGTGCCTGAGGGAGGGGCCCCCGCCCTGCCCCCCCTCCCAGAGCTGCCACAACACCGAGGGGGGGTTCAGGTGTGAGTGCAACCGGGGCTACCGGGCCGGGACCCCCCCCAGACAACGGGACACCCCCGAAAACGGCACCGGGACCCCCGAAAACGGCACCGGGACCCCAAAAAAACAGCACGGGACCCCCGAAAATGGGGTAGAGACCCCCGAAAACAGCACCGGGATCCCTGAAAACGGCACCGGGACCCCCCGAAAATGGGGTAGAGACCCTGAAAACGGCACCGGGACCCCCGAAAACGGCACCGGGACCCCCGAAAATGGGATCGGGACCCCCGAAAATGGCACCGGGACCCCCGAAAACGGCACCGGGACCACCGAAAATGGGATTGGGACCCCCGAAAATGGGATTGGGACCCCCGAAAATGGCCCCATTTATTGTGAAGGTCAGAGACCCCTCCCCAAATTTCCTCTGAAATTTCCCCCGAAATCTGCCCCAAAACCTTCCCTGAACTCCTCCTAAAGAAATCCCAAAATCTTCCAGAAATCCCCCAAAATCTCTGCCAGGGATCCCCCAAAGAAACCCCAAAAATTCTCCCCGAAATTCCGCCAGGGACAACCAAAAAACCCCAAAATCCCCCCAAAAATTCTCCCCAAAATCCCCCCAAAACCTTCCCTTAATCCCTCCCAAAGAAATCCCAAAATCTTCCAAAAATCCCCCAAAATCTCTGCCAGGGACACCCAAAGAAACCCCAAAAATCTCCCTAAAATCCTCCAGAGACCTCCCCAAAAAAAAACCCCAAATCACCCTGAAATCCCCCCAAAAAACCCCAAATCCCCCCAAATTCATCCCTAAAATCCCCCCAAAAACCCCAAATCCCCCCTAAAATCGTGCCCCAAAAAAACCCCAAAATCCCCCAAATCCCCCCTAAAATCCTGCCCCAAAAAATCCCCAAAATCCCCCCAAATTCATCCCTAAAATCCCCCCAAAAAAACCCCAAATCCCCCCTAAAATCCTGCCCCCAAAAAAAACCCCAAAAAACCCCAAATCCCCCCTAAAATCCTGCCCCAAAAAACCCGAAATCCCCCCTAATTCATCCCTAAAATCCCCCCCCAAATCCCCCCTAAACTCCTGCCCCCAAAAACCCCCAAATCCCCCAAATTCATCCCTAAAATCCCCCCCAAAAAACCCCAAATCCCCCCTAAAATCCTGCCCCAAAAAAAACCCCAAAATCCCCAAATCCCCCCTAAAATCCTGCCCCAAAAAACCCCAAAATTCTCCCAAATTCATCCCTAAAATCCCCCCAAAAAACCCCAAATCCCCCCTAAAATCCTGCCCCAAAAAACCCCAAAATCCCCCAAATCCCCCCTGAAATCCCCCCCCCAAAAAACCCCAAATTCCCCCTAAAATCCTGCCCCAAGAAACCAAAATTCCCCCAAATTCATCCCTAAAATCCCCCCCAAAAACCCCAAATTTCTGGGGGTGTTTATCCCCATTTTTGGGGGTTTCTCCCCATTTTTGGGGTCTTCTTCCCCAATTTTTGGGATTTCTCCTCGTTTTTGGGGGATTCTCCCCATTTCTGGGGGGTTTCTCCCCATTTTTGGGGCATTTCTCCCCATTTTTGGGGGGTTTCTCCCCATTTCTGGGAGGTTTCTCCCCATTTTTGGGGCATTTCTCCCCATCTTTGGGAGGTTTCTCCCCATTTTTGGGGCGTTTCTCCCCATTTTTGGGGGGGTTTTCTCCCCATTTTTGGGATTCTTCCCCATTTCTGGGGGATTCTCCTCATTTTTGGGGCATTTCTCCCCATTTTTGGGAGGTTTCTTCCCATTTTTGGGGGTTTCTCCCCATTTTTGGGGGTGTTTCTCCCCATTTTTGGGGCGTTTCTCCCCATTTCTGGGGCGTTTCTCCCCATTTTTGGGGTTTTCTCCCCATTTCTGGAGGTTTCTCCCCATTTTAGGGGGGTTTCTCCCCCATTTTTGGGGGTTTCTCCCCAATTTGGGCCCTCCCTGACCCCTCCCCTCCCCTCCCCCCCCAGATGTGGACGAATGCGCCGAGGTGGGGGAGGGGCTGTGCGGGGGGGGCTCCGTTTGCCTCAACACCCCCGGGGGCTTCGAGTGCCACTGCCCCCCCCCCCGGCCGGGGACCCCCGGGGCCGGACGGGTGCCCAGGTGAGACCCCTCCCCAAATTAACCCCAAAATTAACCCAAAATACCCACAAAAATCCCACAAAAATTGACCCAAATTTGGCCCCAAAATCCCCACGAAAATCCCCCAAAAATCCCCACAAAAATCCCCAAATTGACCCAAATTTGGCCCCAAAATCCCCACGAAAATCCCCCCAAAACTGACCCAAATTAACCCAAAATCCCCACGAAAATCCCCCAAAAATCCCAAAATTGACCCAAATTCGGCCCCAAAATCCCCACGAAAATCCCCCAAAAACTGACCCCAAATTTGGCCCCAAAATCCCAAAATTCAGCCCCAAACTGAATTGGGGGTGCCCAGGTGAGACCCTCCCCAAATTATCCAAAATCCCCACAAAAATCCCACAAAAATCCCCCAAAAAATTCCCCCAAAAATCCCCAAATTTGCCCCAAAATCCCAAAATTCAGCCCCAAACTGAATTGGGGGTGCCCAGGTGAGACCCCTCCCCAAAATACCCCCAAAATTAACCCAAAATCCCCACGAAAATCCCCCAAAAATCCCCCAAAAAATTCCCCCAAAAATCCCCAAAATTGACCCAAATTTGGCCCCAAAATTGACCCAAATTCGGCCCCAAAATCCCCACAAAATCCCCCAAAAATTGACCCAAATTCGGCCCCAAAATCCCAAAATCCAGCCCCAAAATCCCCACAAAAATCCCCCAGAAATGCCCAAAATTGACCCAAATTCGGCCCCAAAATCCCAAAATTCAGCCCCAAACTGAATTGGGGGTGCCCAGGTGAGACCCCTCCCCAAATTACCCCAAAATCCCCACGAAAATCCCCCCAAAAATTGACCCAAATTCGGACCCCAAAATCCCCACAAAAATGCCCCCAAAAACTGACCCAAATTTGGCCCCAAATTCCAGCCCCAAAATCCCCACAAAATCCCCCAAAAATTGACCCAAAATTCTGCCCCAAAATCCCCACAAAAATCCCCCCAAAAACTGACCCAAATTTGGCCTCAAAATCCCAAAATTCGGCCCCAAATTCCCCACAAAAATCCCAAAATTGCCCCAAGTTTGGCCCCAAAATCCCAAAATTCAGCCCCAAATTCAGCCCCAAACTGAATTGGGGGTGCCCAGGTGAGACCCCCTCCCCAAATTAACCCAAAATCCCCACAAAAATCCCCCAAATTGACCCAAATTCGGCCCCAAAATCCCCACAAAAATCCCCCCCAAAAACTGACCCAAACTTGGCCCCAAAATCCCAAAATTCGGCCCCAAAATCCCCACAAAAATCCCCCAAATTCCTCATTTTGGGGGCGTGGTATGCATTAACCACGCCCCCTTTGTGACCACGCCCTCTCTGACCACGCCCCCGCCCTCCCCCAGCGGTGCCGGTGCCCCCCGAAATCTGCCCCGAGGAGGAGGAGGTGAGGGGGACCCCGAAATTGGGGAGGGGACCCCAAAAATTGGGGAGGGAACCCAAAATTGGGATGGGGACCCCGAAATTGGGGAGGGGACCCCCAAAATTGGGGAGGGGGGACCCCAAAAATTGGGGAGGGAACCCAAAATTGGGGAGGGGGACCCAAAATTGGGGAGGGGGAGCCCGAAATTGTGGAGAAAACCCCAAAAGTGGGGACCCCAAAATTGGGGAGAAAACCCCAAAATGGGGGACCGGGACCCCCAAATTTGGGACCCCAAATTGGGAAGGGGACCCCAAAATTGGGGAGGGGGGAGCCCGAAATTGAGGAGAAAACCCCAAAATCTGGGACCCCAAAATTGTGGAGGGAGAGCCCAAAATTTGGGACCCCCCCCACCCAAATTTGGGGCATGGGGCATGGTGAGGGGGGGGGAACCCCAAATTTTGGAGGGGGGTCCCAAATTGAGGGGGGGGGGGGTCACCCCCCAAATTTTGGGGAGGGTCCCCAAATTTTGGGGATGGTCCTTAGGGGGATTTCCCCAAATTCTGGGGGTCCCCAAACAAAATCCCCCAAATTTTGGGGGTCCCCAAAGATTTTAGGGGTCCCCAAATTTTTTGGGGGGGGTTGGGGATTTGGGGGGGGGTCCCCGGGATTTTGGGGGGGTCCCTCTGAGCCCTCCCCCCCCCCCCCCAGGGCTGTGATTTGGGGGAGAGCCTGGCCCGGATTGCGGAGGAGCTGAGGGGGGGGCGAGACCCCCGGAGCCTCCTGCAGGTTTGGGGGGCCTGGGGGATTTTGGGGAGATTTGGGGGGTCCTGAGGGGATTTTGGGTGGTCCTGGGGGGATTTTGAGGGGTCTTGGGTGGGTCCTGAGGGGATTTTGGGGGGTCCTGGGGGGATTTTGGGGGGATTTGGGGAGATTCTGGGGGGGTCCAGGGGGGAATTTGGGGGGGATTTGGGGAAATTTGGGGGGATTTGGGGAAATTTGGGGGGTCCTGGGTGGGTTTGATGGGGATTTTGGGGGTCCTGGAGGGATTTGAGGAAATTTGGGGGGATTTTGGGTGGATTTGGGGAGATTTTGGGGGGGTCCTGGGGGGATTTTGGGGGGGATTTGGGGAAATCTGGGGGGGCCCGGGGGGATTTTGAGGGGTCTTGGGTGGGTCCTGGGGGGATTTTGGGGGGATTTGAGGAAATTTGGGGGGATTTTGGGGGGTCCTGGGGGGATTTGGGGGGTCCTGAGGGGATTTTGGGGGGTCCTGGGGAGTTTTGTGGGATTTTGGGGGGATTTTTGTGGGGATTTGGGGGGGTCTTGGTGGGGTTTAGGGGCAATTTTGGGGGTCCTGGGGGGATTTGGGAGGATTTTAGGGGGTCCTGGAGGAGTTTTGGGGGGTCCTGGGGCATTTGGGGGGCCCTGAAGGCAATTTGGGGGGGTCCCTGGATATTTTGGGGATATTTTGGGGATATTTTGGGGGTATTTTGGGGATATTTTGGGGGTATTTTGGGGCAGGTTTTTTTGGGGTTTTTGATGATATTTTGGGTTATTTTGGGGCAGTTTTTGGGGATATTTTGGGTTATTTTGGAGCAGTTTTTTGGGGATATTTTGGGACATTTTGGGGCAGTTTTTGGGGCTATTTTTGGCTATTTGGGTGTCTCTGATTTCGGGGTCCCCCCCAGGAGCTGCTGTCGGTGCTGGGGGGGGCCCTGGGGGGGTCCCCTGGGTATTTTTGGGGTATTTTGGGATATTTTGGAGCAGTTTTTTGGGGTATTTTGGAGATATTTTGGGTTATTTTTGGGGCAGTTTTGGAGATATTTTGGGTTATTTTTGGGGCAGTTTTTGGGGATATTTTGGGACATTTTGGGGCATTTTTGGGGTTATTTTTGGCTATTTTGGTGTCTCTGATTTCGGGGTCCCCTCTCCAGGAGCTGCTGTCGGTGCTGGGGGGGGCCCTGGGGGGGTCCCTGGCCGCTGCCCCTCCCCCCCAGCGGCTCCCCCGGCTCTCGGCGCTGCTGGAGGCGGGGGAGGGGCTGGCCCGGGGCGCGGGGACGCGGCTGCCACAAGGGGGCGTCACCAACGTCACCATGGAGACCGCAGGTAAGGGACAGATGACACCAATGTCACACCTGTGTGTCACCTGTGTGTCACCTGTGTCACCTGTGTCACCATAAACCTCCCTGCCACAAGGGGGCGTCACCAACGTCACCATGGAGAGCGCAGGTAAGGGCTGGGACACACCTGTGTGTCACCTGTGTGTCACCTGTGTCACCTGTGTGTCACCATAAACCTCCCTGCCACAAGGGGGCGTCACCAACGTCACCATGGAGACCGCAGGTAAGGGCTGGGACACACCTGTGTGTCACCTGTGTGTCACCTGTGTCACCTGTGTGTCACCATAAACCTCCCTGCCGCAAGGGGGCATCACCAACGTCACCATGGAGACCGCAGGTAACTCACCTGTGGCACCTGTGTGTCACCTGTGTCACCTGTGTGTCACCAATGTCACACCTGTGTGTCACCTGTGTGTCACCTGTGTCACCTGTGTGTCACCTGTGTGTCACCAATGTCACACGTGTGTGTCACCTGTGTGTCACCATAAACGTCCCTGCTGCAAGGGGGCGTCACCAACGTCACCATGGAGACCGCAGGTAAGGGACAGATGACACCTGTGTGTCACCTGTGTGTCACCAACGTCACCATGGAGACCGCAGGTAACTCACCTGTGTCACCTGTGTGTCACCTGTGTGTCACCTGTGTCACCCCTGTGTCACCTGTGTGTCACCAATGTCACCTGTGGTCACCTGTGTGTCACCAACGTCACCATGGAGACCGCAGGTAAGGGCTGGGACACACCTGTGTGTCACCAATGTCACACCTGTGTCACCTGTGTGTCACCTGTGTGTCACCTGTGTCACCTGTGTGTCACCAATGTCACACCTGTGTCACCTGTGTGTCATACCTGTGTCACCATAAACCTCCCTGCCACAAGGGGGCGTCACCAACGTCACCATGGAGACCGCAGGTAAGGGCTGGGACACACCTGTGTGTCACCTGTGTGTCACTTGTGTGTCACCTGTGTGTCACCAATGTCACCTGTGTGTCACCTGTGTGTCACCAACGTCACTGGGGACAGGGCAGGTAAGGGACAAATGGCACCTGTGTGTCACCAATGTCACCTGTGTGTCACCTGTGTCACCTGTGTGTCACCTGTGTCACCATAAACCTCCCTGCCGCAAGGGGGCGTCACCAACGTCACCATGGAGACTGCAGGTAACTCACCTGTGTCACCTGTGTGTCACCTGTGTGTCACCTGTGTGTCACCAACGTCACCATGGAGACTGCAGGTAACTCACCTGTGTCACCTGTGTGTCACCAATGTCACCTGTGTGTCACCTGTGTGTCACCAATGTCACACCTGTGTCACCTGTGTGTCACCTGTGTGTCACCTGTGTGTCACCAACGTCACTGGGGACAGGGCAGGTAAGGGATAAATGGCACCAATGTCACACCTGTGTGTCACCTGTGTCACCATAAACGTCCCTGCCGCACGGGAGCGTCACCAACGTCACCACAGAGAGCGCAGGTGAGGGCTCAGTGTCACCTGTGTGTCACCAATGTCACCGTGGAGAGGGCAGGTAACTCACCTGTGTCACCTGCGTGTCACCTGTGCCACCTCCTGCCACACTTTGTGTCACCTGTGTCACCCCCTGTCCCCTCCCCGTGTCCCCATCCCGGGGTGACACAGGTGGCACAGGTGGCACAAGGGCGGCAGGGAGGGGACAGGAGGTGGCACAGGTGACACAAAGGGTGACACAAAGGGTGACACAGGTGACACAGGGGGTGACACAAGGGGTGACACAGGTGGCACAAGGGGTTGGCACAGGGGGTGACACAGGGAGGCACAAGGGCGGCAGGGAGGGGACCCAAGGGGGTGGCAGGGATGACAGAGGTGACAAACGGTGGCAGGGAGGGGACAGGAAGTGGCAAAGGGGGAGGGGAAGGGTGGCACCGGGGGTTGGGGACAGCAGGGGGGGACAGGAGGGGACACACAGGTGACAGAGGAGGGGACACACAGGTGACAGGCGAGGTGACAGGTGACACAGGTAGTGACACACAGGTGACACACAGGTGACACAGGCGAGGTTTGCGGGGTGACAGGAGGTGACGCTCAGGTGACACAGAGGTGACACCCAGGTGGCACAGGGGAGATTTAGGGGTGGCACACGGGTGTCACACAGGGGGTGACACACAGGGGTGACACAGGTGTCACACAGGTGTCACACAGGTGTCACACAGGGGGTGGGTGTCACACAGGTGTCACACAGGTGTCACACAGTGGGTGTCACACAGGTGTCACACAGGGGGGTGACGCTGTCCCTCTGTGTCCCCAGCTCTGTCCCTGGCCGTGTCCCGGGGTGGCACACAGGTGACACAGGTGTCACACAGGTGTCACACAGGTGTCACACAGGTGTCACACAGGTGGTGACACTGTCCCTTTGTCCCCAGCTCTGTCCCTGGCCGTGTCCCGGGGTGTCACACAGGTGTCACACAGGTGTCACAGATGTCACACAGGTGTCACACAGGGGGTGGGTGTCACACAGGTGGGTGACGCTGTCCCTCTGTCCCCAGCTCTGTCCCTGGCCGTGTCCCGGGGTGTCACACAGGTGTCACACAGGTGTCACACAGGTGACACAGGTGTCACAGATGTCACACAGGTGTCACACAGGGGGTGACACACAGGTGGTGATGCTGTCCCTTTGTCCCCAGCTCTGTCCCTGGCCGTGTCCCGGGGTGTCACACAGGTGTCACACAGGTGTCACAGGGGGTGTCACACAGGTGTCACACAGTGGGTGTCACACAGATGTCACACAGGTGTCACACAGGTGTCACACAGGTGTCACACAGTGGGTGTCACACACAGGGGGTGACCCTGTCCCTTTGTGTCCCCAGCTCTGTCCCTGGCCGTGTCCCGGGGTGTCACACAGGTCACACAGGTGTCACACAGGTGTCACAGGTGTCACACACACAGGTGGTGACGCTGTCCCTTTGTCCCCAGCTCTGTCCCTGGCCGTGTCCCGGGGTGTCACACAGGGGGTGGCACACAGGGGGGTGTCACACAGGTGTCACACAGGTGTCACACAGTGGGTGTCACACACAGGGGGTGACGCTGTCCCCTCTGTCCCCAGCTCTGTCCCTGGCCGTGTCCCGGGGTGGCACACAGGTGTCACACAGTGGGTGTCACACAGGGGGTGTCACACAGGGGGTGGGTGTCACACAGGTGTCACACAGGTGTCACACAGGGGGTGTCACACAGGTGTCACACAGGTGTCACACAGTGGGTGTCACACAGGTGTCACACAGGTGTCACACAGGGGGTGTCACACAGTGTCACACAGGTGTCACACAGTGGGTGTCACACAGGTGTCACACAGGTGTCACACAGGGGGTGTCACACAGGGGGTGTCACACAGGGGGTGGGTGTCACAGGTGTCACACAGGTGGCACACAGGGGGTGTCACACAGGGGGTGGGTGGTCACAGGTGTCACACAGGTGTCACACAGGTGGTGACGCTGTCCCTCTGTCCCCAGCTCTGTCCCTGGCCGTGTCCCGGGGTGTCACACAGGTGTCACACAGGTCACACAGGTGTCACACAGGTGTCACACACAGGTGGTGACGCTGTCCCTTTGTCCCCAGCTCTGTCCCTGGCCGTGTCCCGGGGTGGCACACAGGGGGTGGGTGTCACACAGGTGTCACAGGTGTCACACAGGTGTCACACAGTGGGTGTCACACACAGGTGGTGACTCTGTCCCTTTGTCCCCAGCTCTGTCCCTGGCCGTGTCCCGGGGTGTCACACAGGTGTCACACAGGTGTCACACAGGTGACGCTGTCCCTTTGTGTCCCAGCTCTGTCCCTGGCCGTGTCCCGGGGTGGCACACAGGTGTCACACCGGGGGGTGTCACACAGGGGGTGGGTGTCACACAGGTGTCACACAGGGGGTGGGTGTCACACAGGTGTCACACAGGGGGTGACCCTGTCCCTTTGTCCCCAGCTCTGTCCCTGGCCGTGTCCCGGGGTGCCCCCCCCGGCCCTGTCACCCTGGGGGTCCCTGGGGTGACGCTCGAGGTCCCCCCCGAGGTGGCCCTGGACGAGGAGAGCGGTACGGGGGGGAGGGGACACTGGGGGGACAATGGGGACACTGGGGGGACATTGGGGACATTTGGGACACTGGGGACAGTGGGGGGATCTGGGGACATTGGGGACAGTGGGGACACTGGGGGCACTGAGGGGACACTGGGGACATTGGGGAATTTGGGTCATTTTGGGGCCATTCCGGGGGATTTTGGGCTCATTTTGAGGGGGTTTTTGGGGTCATTTCAGGAGGTTTTTGGGTTATTTTAGGGGGATTTTGGGGTCATTTCAGGGGGGTTTTTGGGTTATTTTAGGGGGGATTTTGGGGTCATTTCAGGCAATTTTGGGGATCATTTCATGCCCTTTCCCCCCCCCTTAGGCCTGTCCCTGGTGGGGCTCCTGACCCTGGCGGGTTTTTTGGGGTAATTTCAGGGGGATTTTGGGGTCATTTCAGGCAATTTTGGGTTATTTCATGTCCTTTCCCCCCCCCCCAGGCCTGTCCCTGGTGGGGCTGCTGACCCTGGGGGGGATTTTGGGGTCATTTCAGGGGGGTTTTTGGGGTAATTTCAGGGGGTTTTTGGGGTAATTTCAGGGGGATTTTGGGGTCATTTCAGGCAATTTTGGATAATTTCATGTCCATTTCCCCCCCTTAGGCCTGTCCCTGGTGGGGCTGCTGACCCTGGCGGGGCTCCCCGGGGCCCTCTCGGGGGCTCCCCCCGTGCTCTGGGGGGTTGGGCGCGGGCCCTGCCCCGCCCCCCCCCGCCGGGGCCGCCCCTTCCCCGCGTTCCGGGTCCTGTCCCCGGTGGGCGCCGCTTTCGTGGCCCGCGCGTCCCCGAGGCCGCCCCGGGACGGCCCCGCGGCCACGCTGCGGTTCCGGCACCCGGCGCCGGTCAGTGCGGGCCGGAAACAACCGCGGGGAGGGACCGGGGAAAATGTGCAAAAAATGGGGGGAAATGAGAAATATTGGGGGGAAATGAGAAATAATGGGGGGAATGAGAAATATTGGGGGGGAATGAGAAATAATGGGGAGGGAAATGAGAAAAATTGGGGGGGAAATGAGAAATATTGGGGGGGAAAGCACAAAAAAATTGGGGGGGGGAAAGCACAAAAAAATGGGGGGAAATCAGAAAAAATGGGGGGGAAGCACAAAAATTGGGGGAGGGAAGCACAAAAAATGGGAGGGAAATAATAAAAATTGGGGGGAGGGAAATCATAAAAAATGGGAGGGGAAGGACAAAAAATGGGGGGAAAGCACAAAAATTGGGGGAAATCACAAAAAAATTGGGGGGAAAATGAGAAAATTGGGGGGGGAAATCATAAAAATTGGGGAGGGGAAGCACAAAAAAATTGGGGGGGGAAGGACAAAAAAATTGGGGGGGGAAATGAGAAAAAATTGGGGGGGAAGCACAAAAAAATGGGGGGGAAAGCACAAAAAAATTGGGGGGGAAGGACAAAAAAATTGGGGGGGAAATGAGAAATATTGGGGGGGGAAATGAGAAATAATGGGGGGAAATGAGAAATATTGGGGGGGAAGTGAGAAATATTGGGGGAAATGAGAAATATTGGGGGGAAGTGAGAAATATTGGGGGAAATGAGAATAATGGGGGGAAAGCACAGAAAATGGGGGAAAAGAATAAAAAATGGGGGGAAATCAGAAAAAATGGGGGGGAAAGCACAAAAATTGGGGGAGGGAAGCACAAAAAATGGGAGGGAAATAATAAAAATTGGGGGGAGGGAAATCATAAAAATGGGAGGGGGAAGGACAAAAAATGGGGGGAAAGCACAAAAATTGGGGGGAAAATGAGAAAAATTGGGGGGGGGGAAATCATAAAAATTGGGGAGGGGAAGCACAAAAAAATTGGGGGGGGAAGGACAAAAAAATTGGGGGGGAAATGAGAAAAATTGGGGGGGAATCACAAAAAATGGGGGTGGGAAAGGACAAAAATTGGGGGAGGAAATAAGAAAATTGGGGGGGGGAAGCACAAAAATGGGGGGGGGAAGCACAAAAAAATTGGGGGGGAAATGAGAAATATTGGGGGGGGAATCACAAAAAATGGGGGTGGAAAGGACAAAAATTGGGGGAGGAAATAAGAAAAATTGGGGGGGGGAAGCACAAAAATGGGGGGGGAAGCACAAAAAAATTGGGGGGGAAATGAGAAATATTGGGGGGGGAAATGAGAAATATTGGGGGGGAAATGAGAAATATTGGGGGGAAATGAGAAATATTGGGGGGGAAATGAGAAATATTGGGGGGGAAATGAGAAATATTGGGGGGGAAAGCACAAAAAAATTGGAGGGAAAGCACTAAAAAATGGGGGGGAAGTGACAAAATTGGGGGGGAATCGCAAAAAAATTGGGGTGGAAATGAGAAAAATTGGGGGGGAAATCGCAAAATTGGGGGGAAATCAGAAAAATGGGGGGGAAAGCACAAAAAAATTGGGGAGGAAATCACAAAAAATGGGGGGGAAGCACAAAAATTGGGCGGGGGAAATCAGAAAAATTGGGGGGGGAAAGCACAAAAAAGTTGGGGGGAAAGAATAAAAATGGGGGGGAAATCATAAAAATGGGGGGGAGGGAAATAATAAAAAATGGGGGGGAAGCACAAAAAATGGGGGGAAAAGAATAAAAATGGTGGGGGAAATCATAAAAAATGGGGGGGAAGCACTAAAATTGGGGGGGGAAAGGACAAAAATTGGGAGGGGAATCATAAAAATTTGGGGGAGAAATCGCAAAAAAATTGGGGGGGAAATGAGAAAAACTGGGGAGGGAAATTACAAAAATTGGGGGGAAATCAGAAAAAATGGGGGGGAAAGCACAAAAAATTGGGGGGGGAAATCAGAAAAATTGGGGGGGGGAAATCACAAAAAATTGGGGAGAATCCTAAAAAATGGGGGCAGAAAATCACAAGAAAAAATGGGGCAGAAAATCACAGAAAAATGGGGGGGAAGGAAAAAAAATCACAAAAAATGGGGGGAAAAAATCACAAAAATGTGGGGAAATCCCATGAAATGGGGTGGAGGGGCTGAAAATGAATGGGGGGGGGAAATCCCAAAATTGTTGTGGGGGGGACCCCAAATTGGGACCCCAGCGAGGGCAGAGGGGACCCTAAAACAGGGACAGGGGGAATTTGAGGACCCCAAAAAGGGCCTGGGGACCCCCCCTGACCCCCATTTTTTGTGGTCCAGGACCCCAAATTGGGGGGGACGATCGTCTGCGCCTTCTGGAACCCCCGGGCGGGGCGCTGGGACACGGGGGGGTGCCGGGTGGTGCCCCCCAAAAACGGGACCCCCCCCCCACGGGGAGCCCCCCGGCACCGTCTGCGCCTGCGACCACCTGACGAGCTTCGCTGTCCTGATGGCCTTCAACGAGATCCAGGTGCCCCAAAATACCCTGAAATCCCCCCAAAAACACCCCTAAAACAGCCCCAAAATAGCCTGAAAATAGCCTGAAAATATCCCAAAAATAACACCAAAAACTGGCCTGAAAATACCCCAAAAATGTCCCAAAATCACCCGACGAGCTTCGCTGTCCTGCTGGCCTTCAACGAGATCCAGGTGCCCCAAAACCACCCCAAAAACACCCCTAAAACAGCCCCAAAATACCCTGAAAATAGCCTGAAAATATCCCCAAAAACTGGCCTGAAAATACCCCAAAATTGCCCCAAAATCCCCTGACGAGCTTTGCTGTCCTGCTGGCCTTCAACGAGATCCAGGTGCCCCAAAATACCCTGAAATCACCCCAAAACCACCCCTAAAACAGCCCCAAAATAGCCTGAAAATATCATGAAAATATCCCAAAAATAACCCCAAAAACTGGCCCGAAAATACCCCAAAATTGCCCCAAAATCACCTGAGGAGCTTCGCTGTCCTGCTGGCCTTCAACGAGATCCAGGTGCCCCAAAATCCCCAGAAATTGCCCCAAAATCATCCCTAAAACAGCCCCAAAATAGCCTGAAAATAGCCTGAAAATATCCTCAAATGTCATTGAAATAACACCAAAAATACCCCAAAAATGCCCCAAAATCACCTGAGGAGCTTCGCTGTCCTGATGGCCTTCAACGAGATCCAGGTGCCCCAAAATCCCCCGAAATCGCCCCAAAAACACCCCTAAAACAGCCCCAAAATAGCCTGAAAATATCCCAAAAATATCCCCAAAAATTGCCCCAAAAATACCCCAAAATCCCCTGACGAGCTTCGCTGTCCTGCTGGCCTTCAACGAGATCCAGGTGCCCCAAAATCCCCTGAAATTGCCCCAAAATCATCCCTAAAACAGCCTCAAAATATCCCGAAAATAACCCCAAAAAATTGGCACGAAAATACCCCAAAATTGCCCCAAAATTGCCCCCAAAATCCCCTGAGGAGCTTCGCTGTGCTGCTGGCCTTCAACGAGATCCAGGTGCCCCAAAATCCCCCGAAATCGCCCCAAAAACACCCCTAAAAACAGCCCCAAAATAGCCTGAAAATGTCCCAAAAGTATCCTCAAAATGTCATTGAAATAATACCAAAAATGCCCCTGGCTGTGTCACTGGGGTGGCCCTGGGGGTGCCACTGATGATGTCACAGATGATGTCACAGATATCGCTGATGATGTCACTGATGATGTCACTGATGGTGTCACTGATATCACTGATGGTGTCACTGATGATGTCATTGGTGTCACCATCCCCTCTCAGGACCATTGGCTGCTGGACCTGGTGACACTGGGGTGGCCCTGGTGGCCCTGGGGGTGTCACTGATGATGTCACTGATGATGTCACTGATGATGTCAGTGGTGTCCCTGTCCCCAGGACCATTGGCTGCTGGACCTGGTGACCCCGGGGGTGGCCCTGGTGGCCCTGGGGGTCCCAAGAAGGTCCAGGAGTGGCCCTGGGGGGTGTCACTGATGGTGTCACTGATGATGTCACTGATGATGTCACTGATGATGTCACTGATGATGTCATTGATGTCACTGTCCCAGGACCATTGGCTGCTGGACCTGGTGACCCGGGTGGCCCTGTCCGTGTCCGTGGTGGGCGTGGGGGTGTCACTGATGATGCCACTGATGATGTCACTGATGGTGTCACTATGATGTCACTGATGGTGTCACTATGATGTCACTGATATCACTGATGATGTCACTGATATCACTGATGACATCACTGGTGTCCCCTCCCAGGACCATTGGCTGCTGGACCTGGTGACCCTGGGGGTGGCTCTGTCCGTGTCCGTGGTGGCCCTGGGGCTGTCACTGATGGTGTCACTGATGATGTCACTGATGATGTCACTGATATCGCTGATGGTGTCACTGATATCACTGATGGTGTCACTGATGATGTCACTGATATCGCTGATGATGTCACTGATGATGTCACTGGTGATGTCCCTGTCCCCAGGACCATTGGCTGCTGGACCTGGTGACCCGTGTGGCCCTGGGGGTGTCACTGATGATGTCACTGATGATGTCATTGATGTCCCTGTCCCCAGGACCATTGGCTGCTGGACCTGGTGACGCGTGTGGCCCTCTCGGTGTCCGTGGTGGCCCTGGGGGTGTCACTGATGGTCTCACTGATGTCATTGATGTCCCTGTCCCCTCTCAGGACCATTGGCTGCTGGACCTGGTGACGCGTGTGGCCCTCTCGGTGTCCGTGGTGGCCCTGGTGGCCGCGGCCGCCACCTTTGCCCTGTGCCGCGCCGTGGCCGAGCCGCGCCGGACGCTGCAGCTGCACCTGAGCCTGAGCCTGCTCGGGGGGCACCTGGCCTTCCTGCTGGGCATTGATGGGGCACACAGCCCGGTATAGGGGGAACTGGGGGGCATTTGGGGGTCCCTGAGCAGATTTGGGGGGATTTGGGGGGATTTGGAAGGGATTTGGGGTCATTGGGGGAAGATTTGGGGGAGTTTAGGGGGGATTTTGGGGGGATTTGGGGAGGTTAGGAGGTGCCCCCTGGCCTTCCTGCTGGGCATCAATGAGGCACACAGCCCGGTATAGGGGGGATTTGGGGGGATTTGGGGGGTCCTGGGATCATTTGGGGGGGTTTGGGGTCATTTGGGGGAGATTTGGGGTCATTTGGGGGAGATTTGGGGCAGTTTAGGGGGAATTTTGGGGGGATTTTGGCTGAGTCCTAAGGTGCCCCCTGGCCTTCCTGCTGGGCATCGACGGGGCACACAGCCCGGTATGGGGGGAACTGGGGGGCATTTGGGGTCATTTGGGGGTCCCTGAGCAGATTTGGGGGGATTTGGGGTCATTTGGGGTCATTTGGAGGAGATTTGGGGTCATTTGGGGAAGATTTGGGGCAGTTTAGGGGGGATTTTGGCTGTGTCCTAAGGTGCCCCCTGGCCTTCCTGCTGGGCATTGATGGGGCACACAGCCCGGTATGGGGGGAATTGGGGGATCCTGGGGGTCCCTGAGCAGATTTGGGGGGATTTGGAAGGGATTTGGGGTCATTGGGGGAAGATTTGGGGGAGTTTAGGGGGCATTTTGGGGGTATTTGGGGAGGTTAGGAGGTGTCCCCCGGCCTTCCTGCTGGGCATCAACGCGGCACACAGCCCGGTACGGGGGCACTTTGGGGATTTGGGGAGGTTTGGGGTCATTTGGAAGGGATTTGGGGGAGTTTGGGGGTCATTTGGGGGAGATTTGGGGTCATTTTGGGGAGATTTGGGGCAGTTTAGGGGGGATTTTGGCTGAGTCCTAAGGTGCCCCCTGGCCTTCCTGCTGGGCATCGACGGGGCACACAGCCCGGTATGGGGGGGTTTGGGGGATTTGGGGGTCCCTGAGCAGATTTGGGGGGGTTTGGGGTCATTTGGGGGAGATTTGGGGTCATTTGGGGGAGTTTAGGGGGAGTTTAGGGGGAATTTTGGGGGTATTTGGGGAGGTTAGGAGGTGTCCCCTGGCCTTCCTGCTGGGCATTGATGGGGCACAGAGCCCGGTACAGGGGCACTTTGTGTCCCTGAGTGTCACCTGTGTGTCCCCAAAGTGTCCCTGAGTGTCCCCATTGTGTCACCTGTGTGTCCCTGTGTGTCCCCAAAGTGTCCCTGAGTGTCCCTGTGTGTCCCTGTGTGTCACCTGTGTGTCACCTGAGTGTCACCTGTGTCACCTGTGTGTCCCCAATGTGTCCCCAATGTGTCCCCAGGTGTCCTGCGTGGTGACAGCGGTGGTCCTGCACCTGTCCTACCTGTCAGCGTTCTGTTGGATGGCTCTGCAGGGCGCTCACCTGTGTCACCTGTGTGTCACCTGAGTGTCACCTGTGTGTCCCCAATGTGTCCCCAATGTGTCCCCAGGTGTCCTGCGTGGTGACAGCGGTGGTCCTGCACCTGTCCTACCTGTCTGCGTTCTGTTGGATGGCTCTGCAGGGCGCTCACCTGTGTCACCTGTGTGTCACCTGTGTGTCCCCAATGTGTCCCCAATGTGTCCCTGTGTGTCCCCAATGTGTCCCTGTGTGTCCCCAGGTGTCCTGTGTGGTGACAGCGGTGATCCTGCACCTGTCCTACCTGTCAGCGTTCTGTTGGATGGCTCTGCAGGGCGCTCACCTGTGTCACCTGTGTGTCACCTGTGTGTCCCTGTGTGTCACCTGTGTGTCCCTGTGTGTCACCTGTGTGTCCCCAATGTGTCACCTGTGTGTCACCTGTATGTCCCCAGGTGTCCTGTGTGGTGACAGCGGTGGTCCTGCACCTGTCCTACCTGTCAGCGTTCTGTTTGGATGGCTCTGCAGGGCGCTCACCTGTGTCACCTGTGTGTCACCTGTGTGTCACCTGTGTGTCCTGTGTGGTGACAGCGGTGGTCCTGCACCTGTCCTACCTGTCGGCGTTCTGTTGGATGGCTCTGCAGGGCGCTCACCTGTGTCACCTGTGTGTCACCTGTGTGTCCCCAGGTGTCCTGTGTGGTGACAGCGGTGGTCCTGCACCTGTCCTACCTGTCAGCGTTCTGTTGGATGGCTCTGCAGGGCGCTCACCTGTGTCACCTGTGTGTCACCTGTGTGTCCCTGTGTGTCACCTGTGTGTCCCCAATGTGTCCCCAGGTGTCCTGCGTGGTGACAGCGGTGGTCCTGCACCTGTCCTACCTGTCAGCGTTCTGTTGGATGGCTCTGCAGGGCGCTCACCTGTACGTGCTGCTGGTCCAGGTGTTCGCCCCGGCCTGGCTGCGCCCGCGGCCGCTCCTGGCCCTGGGCTACGGCCCCGCCCTGGCCATCGTGGGGCTCTCGGCGGCCGCGTTCCCGAAGGGATACGGGACCGATCAATAGTGAGTATTGATAGCGATCAATAACCCCTGATAGTGATCAATAGCGATCAATAACCCCTGATAGTGACCAATAGCGATCAATAACCCCTGATAGTGATCAATAGCGATCAATAGTGATCAATAGTGCCCGTCCCCGGGGCCATCGTGGGGCTCTCGGCGGCCACGTTCCCGAAGGGATACGGGACCGATCAATAGTGAGTATTGATAACCATCAATAACCATCACTAGTGATCAATAACCCCTGATAGCGATCAATAGTGATCAATAGTGCCCATCCCCGGGGCCATCGTGGGGCTCTCGGCGGCCGCGTTCCCGAAGGGATACGGGACCGATCAATAGTGAGTATTGATAGTGATCAATAGCGATCAATAACCCCTGATAGTGATCAATAGCGATCAATAGTGATCAATAGCGATCAATAGCGATCAATAGTGATCAATAGCGATCAATAGTGATCAATAGTGCCCATCCCCATGGCCATCGTGGGGCTCTCGGCGGCCGCGTTCCCGAAGGGATACGGGACCGATCAATAGTGAGTGATCAATAGTGATCAATAACCCCTGATAGTGATCAATAGCGATCAATAATCCCTGATAGTGATCAATAGTGATCAATAGCGATCAATAGTGATCAATAGTGATCAATAGTGCCCATCCCCGGGGCCATCGTGGGGCTCTCAGCGGCCGCGTTCCCGAAGGGATACGGGACCGATCAATAGTGAGTGATCAATACTGAGCAAAGCAATCAATAGCAATCAATAGTGATCAATAGCTATCAATAGCGATCAATAGCGATCAATAGTGCCCGTCCCCGTGGCCATCGTGGGGCTCTCAGCGGCCGCGTTCCCAAAGGGATACGGGACCGATCAATAGTGAGTATTGATAGCCATCAATAGCGATCAATAGTGATCAATAACGATCAATAGCGATCAATAGTGATCAATAGCGATCAATAGCGATCAATAGTGATCAATAGTCCCCGTCCCCATGGCCATCGTGGGGCTGTCAGTGGCAGCGTTCCGGAAGGGATACGGGACCGATCAATAGTGAGTGATCAATAGTGATTGATAACCATCAATAGTGATCAATAGCGATCAATAGTGATCAATAGCGATCAATAGTGATCAATAGTGATCAATAGTGCCCGTCCCTGTGGCCATCGTGGGGCTCTCGGCGGCCGCGTTCCCAAAGGGATACGGGACCGATCAATAGTGAGTGATCGATGACCATTGATAGTGATCAATGACCATCGATAGTGATCAATGGTGATCAATGACCATCAATAGTGACCAACAGCGATCAATAGTGATCAATGACCATCATAGGGATCAATAGTGATCAATAGTGATCAATGACCATTGATAGTGATTATTAACCATCGATAGCGATCAATGACCATCAATACTGATCAATAGTGATTAATAGTCATCAATAGTCACCAATGACCATCAATAGTGACCAATAGTGATCAATAGTGATCAACGACCATTGATAGTGATTAATGACCATCGTTAATGATCAATAGTGATCAATGATCATCAGTAGTGATCAATAGTGATCCATAGTGATCAATAGTGATCAATGACCATCAATAGGTATCAATAATGATCAATAGTGATCGATGACCATCGATCAATGACCAGTGATCAATGGTGATCGGTACTGAATGGGGGGGGCAGCTGCGAAGGCTCCCAGTGCTCCCAGTTTATCCCAGTTTATCCCAGTTTATCCCAGTCCCTCCCAGTTCATCCCAGTCCATCCCAGTTTATCCCAGTATCCATTCCCAGTTTATCCCAGTCCCATTCCCAGTTTATCCAGTCCATCCCAGTCCATCCCCGTTTGCCCGTTGTCCCCAGTTGCTGGCTGCCCATTCCCAGTTTATTCCAGTTTATCCCAGTATCCCATTCCCAGTTTATCCCAGTATCCCATTCCCAGTTTATCCCAGTTTATCCCAGTTCATCCCCGTTTGCCCGTCCCCAGTTGCTGGCTGCCCATTCCCAGTCCCATTCCCAGTTTATCCCAGTTTATCCCAGTTGATCCCAGTCCATCCCAGTCCCTCCCAGTTCATCCCAGTTTATCCCGGTATCCCATTCCCAGTTTATTCCAGTTTATCCCAGTTTGTCCCAGTCCATCCCAGTTTATCCCAGTTTATCCCAGTTCATCCCCGTTTGCCCGTCCCCAGTTGCTGGCTGCCCATTCCCAGTCCCATTCCCAGTTCCATTCCCAGTTTATCCCAGTCCATCCCAGTCCCATTCCCAGTTTATCCCAGTTTTATCCCAGTTCATCCCAGTCCATCCCAGTCCCTCCCAGTCCCTCCCAGTCCATCCCAGTCCCATTCCCAGTTTATCCCAGTCCATCCCAGTCCATCCCAGTCCATCCCAGTCCCTCCCAGTCCCATTCCCAGTCCCATTCCCAGTCCATCCCAGTCCATCCCAGTTTCCCCACTGTCCCCAGTTGCTGGCTGCCCATTCCCAGTTCCATTCCCAGTTTATCCCAGTTTATCCCAGTCCATCCCAGTCCATCCCAGTTTCCCCACTGTCCCCAGTTGCTGGCTGCCCATTCCAGTTCCATTCCCAGTTTATCCCAGTCCCTCCCAGTCCCATTCCCAGTCCCATTCCCAGTCCCATTCCCAGTCCCATTCCCAGTCCCTCCCAGTCCCATTCCCAGTCCATCCCAGTCCATCCCAGTTTATCCAGTTTATCCCAGTCCATCCCAGTTTCCCCACTGTCCCCAGTTGCTGGCTGTCCATTCCCAGTTGCATTCCCAGTTTATCCCAGTCCCTCCCAGTCCATCCCAGTTTCCCCACTGTCCCAGTTGCTGGCTGTCCATTCCCAGTTTATCCCAGTTTATCCCAGTCCATCCCAGTTTCCCCACTGTCCCCAGTTGCTGGCTGTCCATTCCCAGTTTATCCCAGTTTATCCCAGTCCATCCCAGTTTCCCCACTGTCCCCAGTTGCTGGCTGTCCCTCGAGCGCGGCTTCCGCTGGAGCTTCCGGGGCCCCGTCATCGTCATCACCGCCGTGAGTGACAACCCGAGGTGACACCTGAGTGTGACACCTGAGTGACACCTGAGTGACACCTGAGTGTGACACCTGTGTGTCACCTCCTGTGTGTCACCCGTGTCACCTGCGTCACCTCAGTGTCACCTGTGTGTCACACCTGTGTGTCACACCTGTGTGTCACCTGTGTGTCACCTGTGTGTCACCTGTGTCACCTGTGTCACCTCCTGTGCGTCACCTGTGTCACCCCATGTGTCACCTGTGCCACACCTGTGTGTCACCTCAGTGTCACCCTAATGTCACTCTGCTGTCCCCACTCCCCCAATGTCCCCAGTCCCTGCAAATGCCCCCAAATGTCCCCACTGTCCCCACTGTCCCCAGAGTCCTGAGTGTCCCCAGGGTGTCCCCAATGTCCCCACTGTCCCCAGTGTCCCCACAGTGTCCCAAATGTCCCCATTGTCCCCAATGATGTCCCCCAATATCCCCAAATCCCCCAATGTCCCCAATCCCCCCCAATGTCCCCAAATCCCCCCATGTCCCCAATGTCCTCAGTGTCCCCAATGTCCCCAGTGTCCCCGCAGTGTCCCCAGTGTCCCCAATGTCCCCAGTGTCCCCCCAATCCCTCTCAATCCCCCCCAATGTCCCCAATGTCCCCCAATGTCCCCACTGTCCCCAGAGTCCTGAGTGTCCCCAGTGTCCACCCAGTGTCCCCCCCAATGTCCCCAATGTCCCCAATCCCCCCCACTGTCCCTAAATCCCCCAGTGTCCCCAATGTCCCCAAATCCCCCAATCCCCCAATGTCCCCAATCCCCCCCAGTGTCCCCCCAGTGTCCCCAGTGTCCCCAGTGTCCCCCAATGTCCCCAATGTCCCCCCAGTGTCCCCAATGTCCCCTCGGTGTCCCCAATGTCCCCCCAGTGTTCCCAAATTTCCCAATGTCCCCCCAGTGTCCCCAATCCCCCCCAATGTCCCCGATGTGTCCCCAAAGTGTCCCCTGGGTGTCCCCCCAGGCCAACGCCGTCATCCTCGTTGTCACCCTCTGGAAGTTGGTGCAGAAATTCCACGAGGTCACCCCGGACATGGGGACCCTGCGCCGGCACGGTGGGGACACCGGGGGGACACCGGGGACATTGGGGGGATTGGGGACATTGGGGGGGATTGAGGACACCAAGGGGACACTGGGGGGGGATTGAGGACATTGGGGACATCAAGGGGACACCGGGGACACCGAGGGGACATTGGGGGGGATTGGGGACACTGAGGACAGTGGGGACACTGAGGGCATACCGGGGACACTGGGGGGACATTGGGGGGACACTGGGGGGACATTGGGGGGATTGGGGACACTGGGGACACCGAGGGGACACCGAGGGGACACCGAGGGGAGACCAGGGACACCAGGGGGACACCGGGGACATTGGGGGGATTGAGGACACCGAGGGGACATTGGGGACATTGGGGGGACACTGGGGACACTGGGGACACTGGGGGGATTGGGGACACCGAGGGGACGTTGGGGACACCGGGGGGAGACCGAGGGGACTTTGGAGGGACATTGGGGGACACTGGGGACAATGGGGAGGATTTGGGACATTGGGGACACTTGGGGGGACACTGGGGACATCGGGGATATTGGGGGGACATTGGGGACACTTGGGGACAATGGGGGGACATTTGGGACACTGAGGGGACATTGGGGGGACACTGGGGACATTTGGGACATTGGGGGGATTATGGGGGGGACACTGGGGACATCGATGGGTGACACAGGTGACCCTGAGGTCACACAGGTGACCCAGGTGACACTGAGGTCACACAGGTGACATTGAAGTGACCCAGGTGACCCGGATCCGTTGTCCCCAGGGTGCTGTGGGTGACGTCACTGGGCCAGCTCTCCCTGCTGGGCTCTGGTTGGGCGCTGGGCGTGGGGGCGGGGCTGGGCTGGGCGGGGGGGGCGGGGCCGCCCCTCCCCCCCGGCAGCGCCCCCCCCGCCCCTCCCCCTCCTGTTCTGCGCCGTCAACGCCGCCCAGGGGCTGCTGATCTTCCTGTGCCACTGCCTGGGGCACCCCAAGGTACCAAAAACCCCCAAATTCACCCCAAAAAATGGAACCGGGACCCTCAAAAACCCCAAAACCCCAAAAACCCCCACCAAAATATCCAAAATCGCAAAAAAACCCCGTCCAAAATCCGCCCAAAATACCCCAAACCCCCCCAGCCCTGCTGATCTTCCTGTGCCACTGCCTGGGGCACCCCAAGGTACCGAAATCCCCCAAATTCACCCCAAAAAATGGAGCCGGGACCCTCGAAAACCCCAAAACCCCAAAAAACCCCAAAAAAATCCCCCAAAATACCCCAAAATGGGACCCAAAATACCCCAAACCCCCCCAGCCCTGCTGATCTTCCTGTGCCACTGCCTGGGGCACCCCAAGGTACCGAAATCCCCCAAATTCACCCCAAAAAATGGAGCCGGGACCCTCAAAAACCCCAAAACCCCAAAAAACCCCAGAAATCCCGAAAAAATCCCAAAAACGGGACCCAAAAATCCCAAATTCCCCCCAAAATCCCCCCCAAAATCCACCTGGGAGCCCAAAAACCCCAAAATCAGCCCCAAAATTGCCCCAAAAGGGCCCCTGGTCCAAACTGGGAGGGTCCCAGTTCAAACCAGTTGATCCCAGTTCAAATTGGGCCGTTCCCAGTTCAAACTGGAACATTCCCAGTTCAAACCAGTGGATCCCAGTTCACACTGGGCCGTTCCCAGTTCAAACCAGTTGATCCCAGTTCACACTGGGCCATTCCCAGTTCACACTGGGCCATTCCCAGTTCAAACCAGTTGATCCCAGTTCAGACTGGGCCGTTCCCAGTTTAAACTGAAGCATTCCCAGTTCAAACCAGTTGATCCCAGTTCAGACTGGGCCGTTCCCAGTTCAAACCAGTCAATCCCAGTTTGTTGCAGGTGCGGGCCTGGTACCGGTCCCTGCTGTGCCCCCGCTCACGGCCGTACTCGGAGTTCACCAGTAACACCAGTAACACCAGTAACCCAACCAGTATGGGCCGGGTGAGGGGATCCCAGTCACACCAGTGACACAGGTGAGATATCCCAGTGACACCAGTAACACCAGTAACACCAGGTGAGATATCCCAGTAACACCAGTAACACCAGTAACCAAACCAGTATGGGCCGGGCCAGGGGCTCCCAGTCACACCAGTGACACAGGTGAGATATCCCAGTCACACCAGTAACACCAGTGACACCAGTAACACCAGTAACCAAACCAGTATGGGCCGGGCCAGGGGCTCCCAGTCACACCAGTAACAGGTGAGATATCCCAGTCACACCAGTGACACCAGTAACAGGTGAGATATCCCAGTGACACCAGTAACACCAGTGACACCAGTAACACCAGTAACACCAGTAACACCAGTAACACCAGTAACCAAACCAGTATGGGCCGGGTGAGGGGCTCCAGTCACACCAGTAACACCAGTGACACAGGTGAGATATCCCAGTCACACCAGTAACACCAGTGACACAGGTGAGATATCCCAGTCACACCAGTAACACCAGTAACACCAGTAACACCAGTAACCCAACCAGTATGGGCCGGGCCAGGGGCTCCCAGTCACACCAGTGACACCAGGTGAGATATCCCAGTAACACCAGTGACACCAGTAACACCAGTAACCCAACCAGTATGGGCCGGGTCAGGGGCTCCCAGTCACACCAGTAACAGGTGAGATATCCCAGTCACACCAGTAACACCAGTAACACCAGTAACCAAACCAGTATGGGCCGGGCCAGGGGCTCCCAGTCACACCAGTAACACAGGTGAGATATCCCAGTCACACCAGTAACACCAGTAACACCAGTAACCCAACCAGTATGGGCCGGGCCAGGGGATCCCAGTCACACCAGTAACAGGTGAGATATCCCAGTCACACCAGTAACACCAGGTGAGATATCCCAGTCACACCAGTAACACCAGTAACCCAACCAGTATGGGCCGGGCCAGGGGATCCCAGTCACACCAGTCACACCAGTGACACAGGTGAGATATCCCAGTAACACCAGTAACACCAGTAACACCAGTAACCAAACCAGTATGGGCCGGGCCAGGGGATCCCAGTCACACCAGTAACACCAGTGACACAGGTGAGATATCCCAGTAACACCAGTAACACCAGTAACCCAACCAGTATGGGCCGGGTGAGGGGATCCCAGTCACACCAGTGACACAGGTGAGATATCCCAGTAACACCAGTAACACCAGTAACACCAGTAACACCAGTAACAGGTGAGATATCCCAGTCACACCAGTAACACCAGTAACCAAACCAGTATGGGCCGGGCCAGGGGCTCCCAGTCACACCAGTGACACAGGTGAGATATCCCAGTGACACCAGTAACACCAGTAACCAAACCAGTATGGGCCGGGCCAGGGGCTCCCAGTCACACCAGTAACACCAGTAACACCAGTAACACCAGTAACCAAACCAGTATGGGCCGGGCCAGGGGCTCCCAGTCACACCAGTAACAGGTGAGATATCCCAGTGACACCAGTAACACCAGTAACACCAGTAACACCAGTAACCAAAGCAGTATGGGCCGGGTGAGGGGATCCCAGTAACACCAGTAACACCAGTAACAGGTGAGATATCCCAGTAACACCAGTCACACCAGTAACCAAACCAGTAACACCAGTAACCAAACCAGTATGGGCCGGGTGAGGGGATCCCAGTCACACCAGTGACACCAGTAACAGGTGAGATATCCCAGTAACACCAGTAACACCAGTAACAGGTGAGATATCCCAGTAACACCAGTAACTCCAGTCACACCAGTGACACCAGTATGGGCCAGGTCAGGGGATCCCAGTATCACCAGTGACACCAGTAACCCCTCCCAGTCACACCAGTAACACCAGTAACACCAGTAACACCAGTAACCAAACCAGTCACACCAGTATGGGCCGGGTCAGGGGATCCCAGTGACCCCAGTAACCCCTCCCAGTGACCCCAGTGGCCCCTCCCAGTGACCCCAGTGGCCCCTCCCAGTGACCCCAGTGGCCCCTCCCAGTCACACCAGTAAAACCAGTAACCCCTCCCAGTATCACCAGTAACCCCTCCCACCTACCCCAGTGACCCCTCCCAGTATCACCAGTAACCCCAGTAACCCCTCCCAGTGACCCCAGTGACCCCTCCCAGTCACACCAGTAAAACCAGTAACCCCTCCCAGTATCACCAGTAACTCCTCCCAGTCACACCACTGACCCCTCCCAGTGACCCCATTGACCCCTCCCAGTATCACCAGTAACGCCAGTGACTCCTCCCAGTAACCCCAGTGACCCCAGTGACCCCTCCAGTAACCTCTCCCAGTGACCCCAGTAACTCCTCCCAGTGACCCCAGTGACCCCTCCCAGTATCACCAGTAACTCCTCCCCTCCCCCCACAGGTGCAGAAAATTCCAGAAAAGTCGAAAATTTCGGGGAAAAAATCTTCGTAATTTTGGGGGGAAAATCTTTGGAATTTGGAGAAAATCTTTGGAATTTTGGGGAAAAAAATCCTCGGAATTTTTGGGGTAAAAATCTTTGGAATTTTGTGGGGGAATCTTTGGAATTTTGGGGGAAATATTTGGAATTTTGGTGGAAATCTTTGGAATTTTGGGGGAAATGTTTGGAATTTTGGGGAAATCTTTGGAATTTTGGTGGAAATCTTTGGAATTTTGGTGGAAATCTTTGGAATTTTGGGGAAAAAATCTTCGGAATTTTGGGGGAAATCTTGGGAATTTTGGGCGAATCTTTGAAATTTTGGTGGAAATCTTTGGAATTTGGGGAATTTTGCTGCCCCTCCCCTCCCCCCCCTCAAGGAGATCAATAAAGGAAAACGAGGCCGAGTTTGGGGCAAATTCCTGGATTTTTGGGTAAAATCCAAGGAATTCCCAAATTTTGGGGCAAATTCCTGGGATTTTGGGGCAAATTCTTGGGATTTCCCAGGATTTTGGGGTGAAATCCTGGATTTGGGGGCAAATTCCTGGGATTTTGGGCTGAATTCAGGAAATTTTGAGGTGAATTCCCAAGTTTTTGGGGCGAATTCTTGGAAA